TCTACTGCGGAATAGTTGTCATTGATTTTTATCGTATCAGCTTGTGCCGGGCCATCAGCGACGGCCTTAAAGTCAGATGACTATTTCTTTATTTAGTTTTTAGTCGTATTCAAGATGGCTGCTCCAATGTAGTAAACATCAGAAAATTATTATTCGCATTTATTTTATTATAACTTGTACGCTAGCTGACTGTGACGTGTGAGTAAACCCCAGAAAATATCACTCCAGTGAATTTTCAAGCCACGGGTTCACTTTTGTATAGCCCTATTTCCGGATACTATATATCTCCATGTGGGCCTATATAATGTAATTGTTACTGTTCACTTGTTTCGTGCCATAGTATAGTATTGTATATTTACCGACACAACACTGACTTAGGAAAGTACAGCGGTAAGGTCAATACAACTACAGAACACAGAACAAAAATAAAATATAAGTGCAACTAAATCAAAAAACGCACAACAATCTCTAGTACAATTGTGTGTGTGACTAATAACTACAAAATAGTGATAATGAAGTTAAAATGAATCAAAATACACACTTAAAATAGAAATCACATAAAATATTAAGAAAAACATTTTATTTTGAAAAATTCATGAGTATTTCGTAGTATAGACCTGCTGTGATTGTTAAGTATAACTCTGGGAATTCAACACTGTAATGGCTTTTCCTCATAATTGATGCAGATATGCAGTGTATCAATATGCAATGGGGAATCATGTGTGGCCATTAACTATGATTTACTCACCATCACATCAAGTGTAAAATTTGGGGAGGGTGTCTACTGTTTTCACACATAGCATACCGTTCCTGTGGTACCATATCATCCCATAATGTGTACGACGGATCCGAAAATTTGGTGACGGAAGGAGCTACTGCTATTGAATCTCGTGGCCGAGGATATTTTTGTTTACCAACCGAACGGGAGGGGCGTGCTTCCCCCTAAATCCGCGCAAGCATATTATTATAGTTTAAACAAAGGTGCCTCTAAGTAATATCATATTTTCCACGTACACCCGAAGTCAAGGCCGTGATTTACGCCAAAATGTATTCATCCCATTCATAAACGATTTGTTAGATATATTTGATGTAGAAAGTCGTAATAAATAATCTAAAAGTTAGCTGCCACCTATATGACATTGTCATTTATTAAAATCGAAAATAGGTTTACAAACTTGCATTTAACAGTAAATACTGAAAGGAAAACGCGTGCTTTGATTTTTGTGCAATATTGTGCAATGTACTAGTACTTTGCATAATTGAACAATTAGTTTATCTTGGTAGTCATCATGTGCAGATTTTACCGATTTCTAGATTTTTCAGTCCTATATCTTGTATTTCTGTTGTAATTTACTCAGTTTTTTGTTGTTATTTTAGCTTAACCATGCCTTAGTTTTTCTTGTTTGTGTGCATGTATCCATTTATACCCATTTAACGTATGTTTAAATGATTAAATAAATATACTGGTAGATTACTATCACACTACATATACATGGGGCCTGCTACGTAAACATCGCGTGACCTCGAGTCTACAATCATGCAAAAGACGTCCCTGAGTCGAACGGTCACAGGTCGGTGAGAGTTCTCAAGTAAACCAGCGTCGACATACGAAGAGTACAATGGACGTCCAGGCTGCTGGTAGGTTAGTAATAATGCTTGTTATCATATGTACATGATTGTAACCAATCCTAGTATCTGTCATTACAGGGTGTACGCTAGTTATATTAGCTTACTTTAGAGTGAGCGACAAAGGCACAAAAGTCACACTTTGTTTCCATTGACAGAAAATCGTATTTTTGACATTTCAAGCCCTCCTTAAACGGTGTTACTGCACTTACTGCGAACATGGAGGTAGAAAAGAGCGTCCTCACTCCTTCTCTTTTCTACCTCCATGCTGCGAACAAGTAACACAAGTTCCCGTATGTACACAGTATGATTGGCTCTCTTGTATCTGTTACGTGATCCAATTCATTTTAAACGCATGACAACTACGCGACATATGCTCTTTCATTCAGCATTTATCTTTTATAGATTATTAAACGCAGCCAACTATCTAGGTCACACACCGAAGCACACCATTCATCATGACTTAGATGACAGTCTCTCTATAGATAGAGGGACTGTGCTTAAGATGGAACACGCGTTTAGGCTAAATGGACTTTAAGATACAGAAATTGTTCCCCGTGTGTTTTTGTAAGTTTT